AACAACAGCAGCACTTGCTGCAGCAGCAGCAGCAGCAGCAGCAGCAGCAGCAGCAGCAGCAGCATTTATTCTTCTGGTGGTTCTTCTGTGTCTGATGCCCAATCAATGAATTCAATAGAAGTATCCCATGCTGCTGGAAGTCTGCTGTTTGCTGCTGCTGCTGCTGCAGTTGTTAGCTGCTGCTGCTGCTGCTGCTGCTGCTGCTGCTGCTGCTGCTGATAGAAACAACGCTGTAGATACACCTGAGCAGCAGGCATAGGAGGCCGCAGCAAATAGGGGGGGATAGATGTAGGGAGAGGGGCAGCAGGCAGCAGCGGAGCAGCAGACAGCAGCAGCTGCTGCGGCAACTCTGCTGCTGCTGCTGCTGCTGCTGTTGCTGCTGCTAGCTGCTGCTGTTGCTGCTGCTGCTGCGACGAAACAGAAACAGGCGGTAGCGCCAAACCCAACAAAGGCTCCATCTTACATCTCTTGCTGCTGCTGCTGCTGCTGCTGCTGCTGCTGCTGCTGCTGCTGCTGCAGCTAGCTGGTATTTCTCTACTTATAGGGTACAGTGCAACGTAAGGGTCCCGAGATGCTAGCAGCAAATAGCTGCTGCTGCTGTGTATACAAATGTTGCTGCTGCTGCTGCTGCTGCGCGGAGCCAAAAAACTAAAATCTAATTCCATGCTGTAGCTGCTGCAGCAGCTGCTGCAGCAGCAACTCCTGCTGCTGCTGCTGCTGCTGTTGCTGCTGTTGCTGTTGTTGCTGCTGCTGCTGCTGCTGTTGTTGTTGTTGTTGCTGCTCCCGCCATTACCCACTGAACCCGCCTTCTCTATACCATCTGTTGTTGCTGCTGCTGCTGCTGTTGCTGCTGTTGCTGCTGCTGCTGCTGCTGCTGCTGCTGCATCTACACCTAGGGGGGGGAGCTGAGGGAACCATACATTTGCCTTTGCCAGCTCATCTCCTGGCTGCTGCTGCTGCTGCTGCTGCTGCTGCTGGTGCTGGTGCGAGGGTCTGCCTTTTGTTTCTGTTGCTGCTGCTGCTGCTGCTGCTGCTGTTGCTGCTGCTGCTGCTGCTGTGTTGCGGTGTATGTACAGCTGCTTCT